ATTCAATTGGCCTCATTAGCCATAAGTACGGTAAGATCTATGGATTGTCTCCAGCCATGTAGCAAAACAAAACAAATTCTGGCACTACAGTGGGAACCTTGTAGGTATCATGCTGCCAGTGTGAATGTGCAACCAAAATCACTTTCCCCATTCTGCTGCCCTATATATATGTTGGACTTCAACTGTTGTGGATATTGAAGCTCTACACACCTAGCGGACAGAAGGCTTGGAGTAGTGTCTCTAAAATTATAGGGACTGGCATCTTTCCTTTGGCCTGTTCTTGGGATCATGGAAGTAGTAAGGGCATACTTAACGGCTTCTCCATCCACCATTTCCTTAATCCAGTGTTAGGTTGCAATTATCTAAAATCAACATTTCATTTAAACAACATTAAATGGGAAACTACAGTTTGCTGCAAAACAAATTGCAAGCCTGCATCTCTTCATTTTCAGGCCTCGCATAGTTCCTATAAGCTTTGGTCGAAAATTGAGGTGATATCTGGCTGAACCCCAGAGCCTTGCTTGGAAACGTGTACTGCTCAGTCATGAATTAAAAGAAGACAAATGATATTATTTACTACCTGCCCCAATGGAAGCAGCAAAAAGGAGTTACAAACAACCTGTCCTGAGACTATATATGCTGTCCCATAGTACTCATTTTGTGTGAGCACCTTTATATGCTCTCAAATTCCTGTCCAAAACTGGGGTCTACTGCTTTCCTAATCCATTTAAGTTTCACTCTGTTGAATTTATTTCTTTTTTATTTCATTTATGCAATGTTATTGATTTTACTTGTGCAGTTTAGCCACCACCTCCATCCTTATGACTAATGTGTGTTTGTGCAGGAAAGGAAAGGAGTAAGAGAGCCGTTTGAGGAAGAATCGTCTTGGCCATATACCCCTAATTCTTTGATTACTCCTCCAGTAGTGGCCATTCTTGTTATAAAAGGGCACCTACATGTAACATGAAGTTTGCAAGAACGTAGGCAATTTTGAAGAAAACAAGACTTAACACTTTTTCTTTTTTGCTTTCCAGTCAGTCTTGACTTCTGACACTACATGGCAAGTCCGTGTGGTTTTCTAAGCAACATTTTTGGAAGCGGTTGACCACTCCTTCTTCCCAGGTCTGAGAGAGAGTAACTGGCCCAGATCACCACTTAGTTTCATGCCTAAGGCAGCACTAGAACGCAGGGCACCCCACTCCTAGTCCAGAGCCTTAACCATCAGCCCAGACAGCCTCCCAACCATCACTTGCTGCTCATTATAAATGAAGTCCGCTGGGCTTTTCAATCTCAGTGTAACTTCTTCTCAGGTCTTTGCAATACCGTCCTTGGCAGCGAAACAAATGCATGCTGTCCTCCCACCTCCTTCGGCTTAGCTATCTGTGTTGAGGAGGGGCAGTAACTAGCTTCAGCTGAATGTGATTGCTGTCTGAAAATCAGGGATCTTTAATGCACGAGGTTCCCATACGGCCAAATGCAGACCGTCCATGCCACGATGAGGAGATTGGTCCTGGGAATGTACAGTATACTGCGATCCCATCTTTATTATGATGAATGTCTGACAACATTTTTACTTCAGTTTTGCTCCTTTTCGCACAGGACTTGTGAAAAGAAAGGGATGAAGGAAAAGAAAGTGCAAAGCTTATGAGACCCATGTAATGGTCTTAGATAATCATTTTTAGCTCACTGCTCTGATAAGGATTATTTGCTTCAGAGCAGCATAAAGATAAATGGAGTTTCTTTCCTAAAGAAAAGTAATGGTCCCACCTAAGTGAATTGAGTTATACAAAATAGATTCTTCAGAAAGCAAGAGGAATTTCATGCTACTGACAAGAGCTAATCAATCAACCCATTCTCCGAATAGCATTTTTCCACTTCAAAATGAACAGTCAATGAAACCTAGAGGTGCTGCTTCGTTGAAGCATGCCAACTTTTATTTCCACTTTCCATGTGTCTATGCTTTCTATTATTTTATTAAACATAAGGGAACTCGTTTATTTTTAAAAGCTCCATTCTAAAGCTGCTTGTTGTGAGATTTAATCTGAACACAAGGTTGTTGGTTATGAACCAAGCTTTATAGGTCAAGTTGCAGGGCAGCAGAGAATAGCTCTGAACGCTTCTATCAGATGGAAACTTTCAACCAAGCATAAGCTTCATCTAAAATATGTATGCAAGAACAAATACTACCCATTTCTAATTATCTTACAGCTTGGTCATGGCTCTGCTTTAAAACACCTTTTCCAGAGAACCTAGAGTTTCTTAGGAAGCTCACTTAGGAGTTTCTGAGTGGTTAGATCAAGAGTGAGCAGCAAAATGTCCCACAGGAGAGATTCGCAACCCGCTGTAAGGTCCCAGGTGGCCCTGAAGACCTTGGATGCAGCCTTGAGAGCTCATGACAGTTGTTTCCAAACAGACATTTTTAAAGGTCAGAAGAAGAAATGTATTAAGTGCATGACTGGAGACTAGTTATATTTCACTCTGCTCAAATTTAAACATAAATGAAATAAAATGTAGTTTTTTGCCGTAATTCCCATAACTGTTTTCTCAAGTGCCGCTCAAAAGTCAAGTGAAACTCCCAGCAGAAAAAGAGTTGTACATCTCTGTCTGAGACTGTGTAGTAATAGTAGTATATTTACTTATTAGTCTGTAGCCTTTGTTTCTACTTCTAGAGTACACAAGATGATTAACAATAAAAAATAACTTCTTTTCCTGGAAGAAGAAAGGGTGGGGTTTCAGGAAGGTCACTGAAAATCCAGGGCTTGGTGGTTGTCCATCATGACCAAAGATTACTCTAGAATGCTTCGCAGAGTACTCTGTAGTTAGAGGGATTTTGAGGCAAGCACATATAAGCTATGGAAGATTGAAGGTAAGAAATCTGAGAATCAGAAAACTATGAAATCCATCCAAATCAGATCACCTTATAATCACTCATGGAAACAAGCCTGGTCCAGCTTTAGAGAAAGCATAGATTAAAAAGAAAAGGAAAAGGAAAAAAACATTCCAGATTTTTGGAGCTTCCTCCTGTTTCTTCAGGGCATTTTTCCAACCATTCTCTAATTCTTCTAACTTTTTCTGAGCTCTTGATAATTCTTCCAAAGCAGCTTCAGCCATCTTTCTTTCTTCCTGAAATTTCTTTATGAGCATTTTTCTGTTCCTCTAATACTTGCTTATGAGTTCTTTCCAGAATGTCCAAAGCATTCTGAGCTCCTTTTATTTGTTCCATAGCTGTCAACCAGTTCTCCAGGGCCACCTCCTTAGCAATGTCTAACTCTTCTAGCATCGTCTTAGCTTCCTTTATTTCTTCTCTTGTCTTTCTCATAGCTTTTTCTTCCTCCTTTCGGACTTGCAGGACCGCCCCAAACCTTGTCTTTTCTTGGTGAATTCTTTCCTGTTCTTGTTCCTGTTCTATTGCAATCCACTTTGCTTTGTTCAGGTCCTCTAAAGCTTGTTTACGCATTTCTTCTACAGCTTTTAATGCATTATGGGCTCTTTTCTCTTTTTCAAGGGCTTTCTTTTGCATTATTTCTACTTCTTTTAGAGTCTTTTGTATTGTCTCTCTTTCTTCCATGGCTTTCATCTGAGCACTTGCCTGCTCTTCTTGGACCTTTTCCTGAGTCCTGAAAAGCTCTTCCGGGGCTACTGCCACCAACTCCTGGTGTTAGCGACAACAACAAAGGAAGATTTTGTGAGGTCATCAGTCATGTCATCACTGAAATCCTCAAGTGTATTTTTTTTCAAAAATGTTGTTAAAGATTATGTGAAACAGATAAGATATAAGAAAAGAAACAGGAAAAATATTTTTAAAGTGCAGAACCTCCCCCTCCCCCCAAAAAAAAATTAGAAGAAGAAACTTCCCCCTTCATCCCCAGCAAGCCTATGGGAGAAAACACTGTGATAATAAAAGGTTTCCTAATCCTAAAAGGAATAATACAAGAACAGAAATCTGCGATAATTTAGTATAGATTCTTGCAGAGCTGTGTTGTTCAAAATAAGTGCCCGCTTCTTTTTTGATATGCCATTCAAAATCAGTGTATAGAGCTCATCTTGGTATCCTTATCTACATTTCTCAAGGCTTTTTTTTTTAATTCTCCCCAATCTTACAAGTAAAA